TTAGTATGGGTCTCTTGAGAAATTATAGACTGTTGTTATCTGACATCAGTGAGCAGAAGATGGAAGCAAAGCATGCATTGCTTTGTGCATGGAGATGGACACAATAAAGAATAAAGCAGGGTCCCAAAATCGAATACGTTTCCTACCTAAACAACATTTAAGACACCATATGCACACTCTCAGTGTAAAAACTGTTTCTAAAAGTAAGCTGCTTTGTTTGGGCCAAATTGTGGATAAGGCAAATCAGACAATATGGTGGATGTTTTTTGTAGGTTTTATTAAAGATAATGCTTAATAGTGATTGAAATATGAGTTTTTCATTGCCTGATGATGATATAGGCTAATTCTAATATATGTGACCCTGGACCACAAAACCAGTCATAAGTAGCACGGGTATATTTGTAGCAATAGCCAGCAATACATTGAATAGGTCAAAATTATCGATATTTCTATTATGCCAAAAATCATTAGGATATTAAGTAAAGATCATGTTCCATGAAGATATGTTGTTAATTTCCTACTGTAAATATATCAAAACGTACATTTTGATTAGCAATATGCATTGCTAAGGACTTCATTTAGACAACTTTAAAGGCGATTTTCTCAGCATTTTGATTTTTTTTGCACCCTCAGATTCCAGATTTTCAAATAGATAGTTGTAGCTCGGCCAAATATCGTCATATCCTAACAAACCATGTGTAAATCTCAATTAATAAAAATTAATTAAAATGTTTTGTGGTCCAGGGTCACATATGCTTAATACAATTCAGTGTTAGTACATGAGATGTCTACGACATGAAAATGCTGACATGAAAATAAATCCAGTTTACCTAAAACACATACTCAAATTTCACAAAAAAACTGGAGACAGAAATAGTTTACTATCCATTGACAAAGTCAGGTCACGTTTATATAGCACTTGATATTATACAGATTGTTTCAAAGTAGCTTTGCACTAATAAACAGGAACATAAGTTTTAATGTTGTAAAATTCATTAATTATGAAAAAAATTTAATTTCAGCTATACAGAAGATAATTGAGTCTTTATTCAGCTCAGTTCAGTTCAATATTGTTGACAATTCAGATGAATAAGTGTCAATTGTGCAAATGTGATCAGAAATATGTTCAATTCATCTACTTTATAAGCAGCTCTTCAGAAGGCAGTAGTTTCATTTTCTATTCGTATTCAGCTTAAGTCAGTTCAAAGCTGGCAGTAAAATTTGCAACTTAAAAAGAAGGAAGATAAATACTTCTGTTAATTGGCTAAGCAGACATGGCTATCGACCAGTAATCTCAAATACTGCATTTTACGCTGCAGGTCTTGATGCCTAATTATCTGCATTTACACTATACACTTGGTAAAACAATCCAAGGTAGACATACTGACCTGGAAAAGCATTTGCCACCCTTGCTTTTTCAATGATGTATGACTCTCATTGACAGGGGAATATATCTGATCTGTCTGCTTACATGGAAGATGCCAATGCATGTATCTTGATTCATATTAGATTTATTTCCACATATAAATAATGCCTGAAACCAATCTGATAATATCGGCATCCATGTGCTTTTTTTTTCCTGCTTACACATTGTGGGTCATATCCAATCTGTCACACGGGAGGAAAAAAATCATAATTGGGACACTTGAACCATGTAATGTAAAGATGACTAAATACTGACAGAATTGCCTTGGCTTAATGCTAGGTCTATCACTCCCTGTAGCTGAGCCATGATTTTTTATTTTATTTTTTTTTCTGCAAAAATTCAACTTACAAGTTGAAATCAACTGGGTGCTCATCAAAGCAAAAATTTTCAGTTTGGAGCCAATCATTCAGACATTGAAATCCAGACATGCATGCAATCTCATGAGAAGCAGGCTCTGCATTGTCTCTCCTCAGAGTTGCGGATGAAGAGCATGCATAATGACTGGGTGTTAAGTTTCATCTTTACTGCCTTCATTTTTTATAGATAAAATAAAGGCTGCTGTCACACAGTATATTCATGGTTATTGAGCTCTCTATAAACACAAATATCAAGAAACTTTTTTTTTTTTTTTTTTTTACGATTTTCTGCAAGGGTACCTTGTTTATCCTGCCAACGTTTGAGATGGAGATTTCTTTTTGAGAATTGTACTAAAGTATAATAGTAGCTTCAGACTAAATCTCTTGCAATGTCTTTCATCACTGTTTTTATCGAGGTTGCAGTTTTATAATCAAGCATGCTATCGACTTTCATAATGAAAAATAATCCAGCAAGTCTATTTCAATTGAAGAGGTGAAGCAAGATTGACTAGGGCTTTGGCTGTAATGGTTCATTACCGATCTGTCACTCTCATCATGTCTCCTGTGATATTACAGATTGCCATTTTGAATGAGTCGCAGTATCACAGACAGCTGTCATAGTGCTGTGTTGATTGGTTCCATCTGCGCATGGAACGCCTAATAGAGAAAAGAGATCAGAGGTCTCAAATAAGTCAGGTTTCTCCAAACAATATGATTTATATGTGATTACAGCATCAGTTGTTCAGTCAATCCTTATTTTTTTCTTTAATACCCTGTCGGATTTCATATATGCTTTCTATGTGGGTAGCAGATTGTGTTAACCTTCCTCGGATCTCAGACACTGTGGCCTTTTCAGGGTCGCCGCATGGAATATATGAAGCAACCCCCCAAAGGCTCTTCCTCACAATTCTTCATCTGCTAGCCTTTTCAAAAAGTGGCAATGGAGGCAATCCCCAAGGGTTATGCATATAGGCTATGTTAGCATTAGCGTGTGTTTAGTATGGGTCTCTTGAGAAATTATAGACTGTTGTTATCTGACATCAGTGAGCAGAAGATGGAAGCAAAGCATGCATTGCTTTGTGCATGGAGATGGACACAATAAAGAATAAAGCAGGGTCCCAAAATCGAATACGTTTCCTACCTAAACAACATTTAAGACACCATATGCACACTCTCAGTGTAAAAACTGTTTCTAAAAGTAAGCTGCTTTGTTTGGGCCAAATTGTGGATAAGGCAAATCAGACAATATGGTGGATGGGTTTAGACAAATATATTGTTAATATGCTTATTTCATCAAATACCTAAAAGTTTTGATATAATGCAGCCTATTTTATAATATTTTACACAATATTTGTGTATACAGTGTGTTTTTACGCTAATGAGATGCTTTATGCTGATTGTGATGCGTATTTGTATGCTAATTAATAACATTGATAGCATAGCAATATACTTGAGTCAGCCTTTCTGATAGGGCTGGGCGATATAGCTAAAAAATGTATCAACGATATAATGTTTCATATCGTTCGGTATCGATAATTATTGACATTTTTTATAACAAAGAGCAATAGAATAAAATGTTTATATTTAACCACTGTATTTTTAAATTAACTCAATTTATTGAGACAAACAACAAATATTTTTTTGTTTTAACAGTCAAAAACAATTAAAAACATATGAGACGCAGTGAAAAGGAATAAACCTCTACAAATTTGCGACGTGTTTTCTAAAAGTTTAAGCTGTTTTAACTTTGCATGGCTTTCTATACATCTCTTGTGTGAGACGCGAGTGCAGCAGTCATATTTGTCCGTCTAAAAATGTTTATTATCGTTATCGAAGAAGGTGTATCGTCGATAAATATCGATACCGTTTTATCGCCCAGGCCTAGTTTCTGACTCCAAATCTAAATTCACATGACTTTACCATTGGTTGTGATTTTTCTGGATAAGGATTAAGAAAATAAAAAACCCAATAAAATACTTTAGAGCTAATATTTAAGATTCTATTAATTTACATAACTTTTTCAGGTCTGGAAATTTCACTCAAAATTAGGCTTCCTCATAAATACAGTTTTCTGGAGGGCCGTTTGTGTGGTGCTCAGAGTTGCAGCCTATGAAGATTGTCCAAATTAGTTATAAATGAGCTTCCATTTCATTGAAGGTGTTGTCTTAAGGCTGGTACACATTACATGAATTTTGCCTATATCTTTGCCCCAGCTTGCAGACTGGAGGTGTCATCGATTTTTGCTGAAAGACAAAGTTGGAGTTAGCAGTTGGATTTGACCGATTGCACAGAAAATCCTCCGTTCATAATTTCTTTTAGTCAATATTACACATTTTTGTTTGTCATGCATCTCCAAGAAGTGTTGCATGTTATTGCAAAAGTTTATGTTTGGAGTGACTCAAATATCTGGTACTGTGTGATCTTCAGTCTTTTATTTATAAGTTTTTCCTCTGTAACCATATATGATGTCTGCAAGTGCATAATGCCATGTGTTTTATAATTGGTTCAGATCTTAGAAGTCATGTAGTGTATTCCAGTCTTTAGAAGACACAAGACAGCTGTCTACATTTGCTCATTTGGCAGACCATGCTCTTATTCAAATTGACTTACATTGCATTCAATATAAACATTTTATTTGTTCATCTATTCCCTAAGAATCGAACTTGTGACTTTGGCGTTGCTAACGCCATGCTCTACTGTTATCTAGCATGGTATCTAACATTAATCGCCATGGGCATTTTCTTTGATAATAGAGCATGATCCGACTCTCTCCATATATAAACTTAACAACTCTTCTGGAGTCATGGATTTGCAGGCTTAGGCTATTTGCTGCTCTCTTAGATGTCCTCTGAGCATTTGAGCCCACAGTGCATACCTGCAGCCACTATTGTTCTATTGTAATGTGAAATGTTTTGTGCAGCTGAGCGTGGGGGCACTGTGGGCTCTAATTAACACATATTTGAGCGTTGGCACTGCTGAAAAGACCTGAACACAGAAATGAACACAGACATGTTTTGTTCTGTAGTGTAGTTTTAGAGTTGTATTTTAACATGGAAATGAAAATGGAACTTTGTTCCATTTTGGGTCTGTTTGACTGTGTCTTTTCCTCTGCTGTGTGTATTGATCAGTGAACCACTCATCTAGAACGGTTCTGTAAATAAGACTGAACTGAAGGGCATGACCACATTTATAATGATCTCTCTCTTTCTCTGTTACAGATGCCTTTGTCAACAGTCAGGAGTGGACACTCAGTCGCTCTGTACCAGAGCTCAAAGTGGTGAGTCCTGTCACTGATGTTTCAAATTTGCCATTTTTATCATAACTAATACAAGATTTAATTTGCATCATTTAATTACTTAAATTAGTGTTGCATGCTCGTGTCCTCACAACAAAACAGCTTTGATCAGGCTGTGTCCTCTTTAAATTGGCCTGAATACGCTGAATTCTCTGTTTCTTGTCCTGTGGAAAGTTAATTTGAAATTAAAAATAAACTCACTTTTTACACTCTCACTGCTTTATTTGTTGGTCCCCTAATAATGACATTTGTGTCATTTGACAGCGTCATTTCCTCCATCTCAAATTATTTCTTGTTTGATAGCATTCTGTGATTTCAAATTATTGCATGTGAAAATGACATCTTACAGTTTTAAAATTAAATGACTGACTTGTCATGCTAACGTATATTAATGCATGGATAGAATTTGTTTAATCCAAAATAATAATAAAGAAAATGAAACAATTTTAATATATTTAGCATAATTTAACACAATTACAGTTTGTTTAACACAAGTGCAGAACTCTTTCTTTAGAATTCTTTAAATGTAATTATTAGTAATAATGAATTTTATCATTTTAATTTCATTTCATAGTTCTTTAATCATATCGAATTAACTTTAAAAGTTTCAAACTGAAGTCTGGGTCTATGACAAGTAAAAATCAATAACATGATCAGCAAGAAATGATAACAAAGGATGTTCGTTTTAATTGATCTTTAAATACCTTTTTTTTTTATTTTTTTTTATTTTTTATAAAAATCAAACCCTGGGACTTAAAAATACCACAGTTAAAAAGACACTGTTTTACTGTACTGATGGTACTCCGTACTCAGCAAAGGTTATAAAATAATTTTAATAATCTGTGTGTGCGCAGCATGATCTCCTATCTCTCTCTCTCTCTCTCTCTCTCTCTGCGTATGTGTGTGCATCACTGAAAGCAGCGCATTAATATAGAACAGTGATTAATCTGACCTGGAACTACCTGTGCATTATATGGTTTTAATGCATACCTGCCAGGCAATCAGAATCAAGTATTCAGACAGACCATGGTATAATAGGACTTGCTTCAGGTCTAAGCTGAGACACTGTTTATTTACATGCCAAAATATCATGTAAGGTACCCCTATTAATTCTGTGTGTGTATTTGTGTGTGCAGGGCATTGTGGGTAACTTGGCCAGTGGGAAGTCTGCCCTGGTGCACCGGTATCTGACAGGGACGTACGTGCAAGAAGAGAGCCCTGAAGGTAGGTGTTTTGCTATCAAATATGCAGGTGAAATTTGGAGAATCATTAAAAGCCTTTGTACTTTTATATCTCTCACTGTCTTTATCTTTAACAGTTTATTGAAAGGCTTTTGAAAGGCTTTACAATGGTGTATGTGTGTCCTTCTGTTCTTAGATCCCGTTTAAGTCTTGAAGTTATGTGTAAAAACAATTAATATTCCTCTCTTTTCAGTATTGCTGAGGCATAGCCTAGATACTCTTCTTATTTTTCTCTCCTTCTCTTATTCCTTCTTTCTCTCTCCGCACACCTGCTGTTAGTATGTTAGTACAGTACAGTTGTGCTGGAGTACTGTGCTATACTCCCCATGTATAATTGAGAACATTCAAGGCACACCGCCAGACCACCACAATATGCTCTCTTTCCCAAGCACGGATCTGCTTTCAAAAGCTCCCCGTGTCAATGTTTCATGTCCTTTATAACTGTTATTATGTAGTAATGTTAAACTGGCCTTTCAGATGGCTCCCTCACGGAGCAGAGTTTGTAAATTTTAGGGCTTTTCTTTAAAGATCGTAATTAGTTTAAGCAACATTTAGTACAGTTGTGCTTAACTGCAGTAATCTGAGTGCCTGGGGGTCCTGCAGAGAGCATGAGGTCACAGAAGAGGGCAGTTACCGGGCACTAATCATGTCTCGTCCTTTCCTTTGCACTTTACCGTATAAAACTCAAGCCACTGCATAGCAGCGGTCAACCAGGAAATCGCCCTGCAAGAAAAAAAAATCCCCCAGAAATGTCAGTTGCCTGTTTGCCGCAGTGGATTATAGCACAGAGTGCCAAAGGAAACTTAGCGCGACATCAGAGACCGTTGAAGTGTGTGCCTTGCTAAGCTCAAGCGACACGGTTAAATCTTTCACGTTTGAGGCCAGCACGTCATCTGATGATAGAAGTGCCGCAAAACTCAGATTTGCAGTGGCGTTACATCACATTTCAGCTACAGAAAGCTGTGATTTGAATTTCCAAATTTACATTCCAATAAAACTACCGCATAAAAAGTTTTCCTACTTTTCTTTTTTTGAAGTTTCACTATTCTGGGTTTAAAAATAGTGTTTCCTAGCTTTGGTAGAGTGACCCCAACCTCAAAACCACTAAGTAGGGCTGGAGCAGATTTTTACAGCGCACTCTGCAATGAAAGCAGTCGGGTTTTGCACCGTCCCACCTTGCATCACACATACTACATGAATAGACACATTCTCAGAGCTCATTAAGAGATATTATCACAAGGCCAACTATGTGACTGCATGTGTATGTTTACACAAGAAGAAAGAAAAATCCCTACAGGCCTGGTGGTCTCAATACAGACCCAGCCTTTACCATTTCAAAACCCAGCACCCCATATGGTTAACTAAGGCAGTTTTTTTGCTTATGCCGCCACAATCATGTTTGATTTAGAAATGTGGCTCTGCTGGGATCAGCAGTTTGGTGCAATTGTGCAGACCAGTCCCTCTAGCGTGAAAAATAACACTTTTATCAATGTGAAATATCAAATTTAGACTTTGAATCTTTTCCAAGTAAAATCTAGATAAACTAGTTGCAAACCGTGAAATCTAGATAAACTGGTTGACCATCATGACCCATTTCTACTTCATATTTCCTCTCTTTTTGTTAAACAGGCAAATAAGAATATTTAAAAATCTAGTTTAAAACATCTGACAAATTCTTAGAGATCTTTGTATTCGTGTTGGTTTTAAAAAATGTCTTTAAATTTAATTAGCTAATGTGTCACCACACACCACATGACTTTAAATTGGTGCACAAAAGTATTTTTAATTGTTAATAATGTTTTAACAAGATCGCTTCACTTTCACATTTTTCTCAAAAAATAAATAAACAATAAAAGCTTAAGAATAATAGATTTTGTCAAACTACTAATGTTTTTATTCAAGAATTATTAGTATGCATAATAATTTTTTTTCTTAATTATGGTGTATTATTCAAAAATGTATTTGGCTTTATGTTCTAAAACAAATATAAAAATGTTATAACTGTTGTTTTTAAAAACATTTTCTATAAATGTTATATTTAAAAAATTAAAACATGCTCATCATAGAAAAGATGTATTTAAGTCATGTGTGTTTAAATGGTAATTTATTTTTTAAATTAATTAATAGATTTAGGAGTGTTACGTTACTGACCTCAATACTATGAGCATGTGTGATAGTATGTGTCCTTTTCATCAGCGTACTGTAAATCAGCTGTATTGACCTGACCATGTCCTCAGGGCAGACGTGTTAGATCTGTATGAGTCGTGACCCACATGACAATAGATAAGCTTGCGATGAATGAATGAAAGTTATGCTTCTTTCTCTCTCTCTCAGTCTCTTTCTCTTTGTCCTGCTGTGTTTAATTTCTTAACTGACTGTGCATGTTTAGCTTGGCTGCTTTTTGATTTGAGTTTTGTTTATTCTCTCTTTCCTTGGCTGCTTCTTTAACTAGCTGACGTGGATGCAGGTAACTATTTGCTCTCTTTTTCACAATGTCACCATCATGTTCTTCTTGGGGAAGGTCTGTCGTAGTACAAGAGATTTGAGGAGGTGGACTCTCCTCCCCTCTGTGGCTTGTTAAACAGCATATTCTTCATCATGTTTCTGTTTAGATGCTCACAAACAATGCGTGTCATACCTAAAATCTTCAGTTATAGAGTTGATTCCACTCCACATGGCTTCTCTTTACTCATCACAGAGCTTTAAGCAAATTAAGCCATCGAACAGGAGGTTCCACTCTACTCCTCTCTTGATGCCACTGTAGTTTTGCCATCTTTCCATTTCATTCATTTCCTCAATGACACCAATGCACTGAGCGTTACAGGTCACTGTCCATCAAGCCAGAATATTAGACTGGGCGTTTTATCAAAAACTGTGTTTCTGAGTGTCTCTCATGATGAACTAAGCTTCAATGCATCCAGAGACTCTAAACTCAAGTGTGTTTTTACTCAGCTGAGTTTAACTCCATGGAGAAAGAATCCAGAGTGTAATTAACCGATGGGTGTCTATCTTTCACTCACTGTGCACTTCTCTCTCGCTCTCTATTTTCAACAAATATATAAATATCTGCGTCCAGACTATATGCTGAGTATTAGCTGTGCTGATACTCCTCCACTTCCTCATCCTTCATAATGCAGACAGACAAACCATGTCATTACGGAAAAGCTTGCCATCCCCTCCAGCCTAAACGCCATTCCCGAACAGCTCGCCCACTCTTCGATTTCAGCTAAACCTGGCAAATTTTGTAAAGCACATGAACTTTGGCATACACATTATTGCCCACATGTTTGGTTCAGTGGAGGAGCAGAGTTTAAACACTTGAGTCATTAAGACGGAGGGAAAATTGGAAAATCACGCAGTCAAGAAACATTGTGTTCTATCATGTCGTCATCTCAATTGAGTTACAGTGGCTGTGCTTTAGAACCATTATGTATCTCTTAGTAAGAAACTTTAAAGTAAAAAACTATTGCAGTGCTGCTTATGCTGTGATAATTAGGGCTGGGTATCGAGTTCGATACTTTTTAGGCACCGACCGAAATTCCTCGATACCATCGAGTATCGAAAAACGTCTCGTCGTTACTCTCTTTAACTCTCGTGGTACTGTAATACACCGATCGGTCTGCACAGTCCGCGTCAAGTCGAACACACCTACTAGTTTACACCGGTTGCACTCAGAGATGTGGCGCACACGTGAGGCTGTAGTGCGAATGCGTCCCTGCCCCCTTAGATATAAGACTACATTTACACTGGTGCGTTTATGTTTTAAAATGAAAACGATCCTCGTCATACTGGCGTTTCCACTGCATTTCAAGCCGGCTTTCCACTATCTCCGACAAACGACAAGCGACAGACCAGTCATTCAGTCATTCATTTCCAATGGAGAGTAGCGCGGGAGCTGCGTGGAGTTCTGATCATATGAAGATGTCCGTTCATACTAACGTTACACGACCAAAAGCACGTGCTATGTGACCATTCATGCAAACTGTAGCATCATGCTACACAAGACAATAAATAAGATTTATATTCTGCTTTTACTCAAAATTCACTTTAATCCACCATCGAGTGTTTGTAATAACTTCCGATTGCCGTCTAATGTGTGTTTTGGCTATGTACGGTTGCTGAAATTAAATATGTTATTACCTCTGACTCTTGAGTCAGAGCAGCGCTCATGGAAGAGAGAACACAGGCAGACAGCGCTGGAAGCTGCTAATGCTCATTAGTAAATCAGTGGAAAATAAATAGAAATCATGATTCTGTCTGAGCTATGCATTTTAAAACGAACACGCACTAGTGTAAATGTAGCCTAACAGATGTGTAAACTGAAGACTATTTGAGCTTTATTAACTATTTGCACTGATTTATTGTGTTGGTTACATTTTGTTCCTTTGTGCAGTGACTCAGGAGATGAGTCTTTGAGTTTGTATAAACATCAACAAGCTGAAAAATAAAACCAAAGTTTTTTTTTTTTAGATAATGTAATCTTGTTAAAATTGATTTCATAAAATTGGTATCGAAAAAAGTATCGTTCAGGAACCGGTATCGAAGTCAAGTTATCGGTATCGATATCGAAAATTTTTGAACGATACCCAGCCCTAGTGATAATGCCACTGATGCTGTATTAAAATTAGGATTTGAATATCTACTCTCTAGTGTAAGAACAGTTTTATTTTCTAGAGGTGATTTAATGATTTTTGCAGCTGTGTCTAATTATGAAGGTATGCAGAACTAATATATAATACCTGTTATATTTATGCTTTTCTGGCACAGTTATAACTAATTAACGGGTTTTCAAACTTTTTGTTGTGAAGGACCCCCCAATATGAAAATTTCCATTGCCTAGGCCCCCATTAAAACAAAGTAGCTATATATGAGAAAAATAGTGTGATATTATGAAGAAAAGATTGTTTAAAAAAATGAAAAATGGAATTTATACATAAAAGCCAAAATAAATGTAAATATTACATAGAAATACGTTTTAATTCATATATAAAATTATTTTAAAAAGTTATTAAATAATTATTAGAATATATTTGTGGAAGGCTTTTTACAATAATTATTGTGAGAACAAAATTGGCTTGCAAAATTAAAAATATGAAAATATGCTTTAAAGTTATTTACTTTAAGTTACTTTAGTTATTTCTTAGTTGTTTAGTTACTTTCTTAGTTTCTTATATCTTATTTGCTTACCTGTAGTTGCACCACTGTTCCTGGTTAGATCTGATAAATCCAAAAATATTATCAAGTAAAATACTGTAAATTGCGATCAAACCAGTTATCAGTCCTTCCCAAATCTCTCTCTGTATAATTTATGGTCTTTGTTGGTTATCATGGGGATACACTGTTGGAGGTCAGAGGTGAAGGGTAAAAGTTAAAAATGTTCAAGTGGTCATGTCCCCAGATGACCATGGAATGTCCTTTCAGGCTATGAAAGTAGTAGTATGTGAAGTTCTCTCAGGTCTTCGGTGCACAAGCTGATTAGCAGTGTAGAGCTGCGATAAGGTTAATACCCTCTAACATCTCCAGGAATCCCCTCTGATCCTCTTATGCTTCTGCAAACCAACCAACAGTTGCCCTCCCCTCTTCCGCCGAGAGAAAGATAGAGAGAGGTCTCTATGTCCTCTGATTTCTGACCACCGCTCTCTCATCTCAGATGGGGCACAGATGGAGTGGTCACCTTTACCACTCCAGCCATCGTTAGACTGGACGTTTGGAAAACTAATTGCAGCGGCAATACTTAATTAGTCTGAGTTCAAATAATTTTCTGAGGAAAATTCTTTCTCTGAAAAACAAAGAAGGTCAGGAAGAAAGCACTCAGATAGTGTTGATAAAAGACACTTTCATGCATGGATAAATGCATTATAAAAAAGGGAGTTACAAGTGCAATATATAAATGAATCATTGCATTTCAAGCATCTTTGTTCAGTCTGCATTTTATATTGTGACAAATACTCCCGTTAATAAGGTTTAGACCAAAGGTTCTCAACCTTTTTTGACTTGGCCCCTTCATTGTCCAACACAATATTCACAGGGCCCCTCGTTTAGAATATAGTATGATATTTCCTCCGGAATGTTCTGCTATAATTTCAACAAAGCCAATTTTTCAAACATTTTCATTAACAGAAACTTGGAGCATCAATATATAACATATATTGCTACTACTAAATATTATAGAAACTTAATTTTCTGTAAAGTTGCTTTGCAACGATTTGTATCATAAAAAGCGCTATACAAATAAACTTGAATTGAATTGAACATTAATTAACCACAATTATTCTTCTGAGGTGAAGATTAACCATGATTATAGTTGTTGAGGGGAAAATTGAAAAATATATATTTTATGTTTTTTATTGTTTTAGGATTTTAATAAGTTATTTTTAATATAATAAATGAATGAATAAATTTCTGGGATTACATCAGTATACTAAATTGTAAATAATAGGGATGGAATTTAAAAGAATTAACAATTCCAGTTCAATTCAATTCTATTGTGAAATTGACAAATATTATTTAAACAATTCTTACATGAAAAAAAAAAATCAGTTCCATTGTGAAATTTATAAATACAATTTAAACAATACTTACAAAAGGTGTTTTTAAACTAACTTTTCAGAGACAGCATAAATGCAATCCAGTAATCTGCTTTAACTATATATGAAATATCAGTACTAAACAAACAGAAAAGTGGTAATATATTTAAATAATTTATTTATTTCCATGAAATCCTACTGTCAAAATTCATGTGTGTTTGTAACTATGAACAACCAGTCAGTAAGTACACTATGAGTGTGGGAAAAAGTATAAAATTTAAATATAAAAGTTCTATGCTGTGTGAATTTTATTCATACATTAACAGTCAGTCCTTTGGGAATGAAAAGGGACAGTCCACAACGTTGCAGCAGCAGTAGATCTTATACAGGAGCACCAAAACTGAAATCCTTTGCTGTTAACAGTGTTTTCACAGAAAGAATAGAAGATGCAAAAAAAGCAGTTGCCATGCTACAGCTGTCTGTGACAGTGGACTGAACCCTGCTGTGAATCTTACACTGAATAAAATTGTGCACATAATTTATTTAATACATTTTTTATAGTACTCACCTTTGTATATTTACTAGTTCTGAACTCTGATTTATAGAACAAATATATAAACCCCCCCCCCCCCAAAAAAAAAATAATAAAAAAAATTATACTGACTCCGAGCTTTTGAATGGTCATTTGAATCAACAGTCCACCAATCATCTCATTTATAAGTAGTGAATGTATTAGAATCATCAGACTCTTTAAATTGATTTGCTTCTTTTGTTGGACAGGAGGACGTTTTAAAAAGGAGATTGTAGTGGATGGACAAAGTTACCTCCTCCTAATCAGGGATGAAGGGGGACCTCCGGAGGCTCAGGTAGGTAGTGCAGCCACAAATACAATGTGTTTTCCTTACAGAGGATGTTCTGATTCACAATGCTGAGCCTTAGTCTCAACTCTGGATGGGCGTAGCTATAACAATATATTAGTTTTGTTTTACAAAGCGGCTGAGTGGAAACCATTATGTAATAGGGTTTATATGAGGCTGATAACATTTATTTAGACAAACTGATTCTCTGTTAGTCATAAAATGCAAACAGGAAGTCTCATGTGGCCTCTTTCTCATGGCCTGTGAAATATGAATTTTATAGTGTGTCCCATTGAGCAGGGAGTCAGTCATTTCGAGCTGACAAGAGTTGTTTCAGTGCATTTCTTATGGATATTCCCAGAATTAACCATAAATCCTGTGAGCATTGTTTGTTCCATATATTCACTTACCCAAAATGTTGTCATGGCTTCTTAAGTCTGCTTTTTAGGACAGCTACAACTAAGATGCAACTAAGTCCCATCAGTGTCCCAATATGTAGTGGTTCAAAGCCCTTGCTAGTGCACAAGTACATTCACAATAATCACATCATAGGAAATATGATTAAATATAAGGGAGTGGATTTATGAAATACGTTTAGCCTATTTTAAACAAAGAAGTATTGTGTTTTTTTTTTAATAATGTTTCTCTCTCACTTTCTAAATTCTTCCCACTCTCTCAATCATTCTTTCTCAGTTTGCGTTGTGGGTAGATGCGGTGATTTTTGTGTTCAGTCTGGAAGATGAGATCAGCTTTCAGACGGTCTACCACTACTATAGTCGCATGGCCAACTACCGCAACACAGCAGAGGTGCCCCTGGTGCTTGTGGGAACTCAGGGTGAGTCTTGGAGAGAAAAAAACCTGGATATATCATATGACAGCAACTCACATTCAGAATTCAAGGCCATATTCTCCAGTGGCTTGGCAACAATTTGAATAGAGTACAGTTTGACGAGTAGGCACAAACCTTTTACATATTTCAGGGATTATTGTTATCAGTTATTTTTACACATTAATTGTTGATCAGTTTTTTTGGGCAAGTATTATTTATAGATATTTTATATGGACACTACTTTTCAAAACATTGGGGTTGGTAAGATTTATTTATATATTTTTTATGTTTTAAGTCTCTGAAGTATGGAAGCCCGTTTCCACCACTGAATAAAAAATAAAAAAGGTAATTGACTTTTTATCTCGCTATTCAGAATTGTGAGATAAAAAGTCTCAATCGCCAGATATAAAGTCAGAATGGCCAGATATAAAAGCACAGTTCTGATTTTTTTTTCTCAGAATTGCGTGATATAAACTCGAAATTGTAAGAAAAAAATAATTCAGAATTGCCAGTTTATATCTCGCAATTCTGACTTTATAGCACACAATTGCAAGTTATTAAGTCAGAATTGTGAGATATAAACTCGCAATTCTGAGAACATATCAGTCTTTTTCCCGCCTTAGAATTGGAATTTGTAACTCGCAGTTGCGAATTTATATCTATTACCAATATATATTTATCTATTACCAATATATATTTTTATATATTACCAAATTAAAATAAGTAAATAAATACCTAAATGTATAATCATAACAATAACATTCTAAAATATTATTGCAATTTGAACTAACTGTTTTCTATTTTAATATATTTTAAAACCTATTTTATTCCTGTCATGCACAGCTGAAATTTCAGTAACCATTACTTCCAGTGTCACATGATCCTTAAGAAATCATTCTAATATGCTAATTTGGTGCTCAAGAACATTGTTTTAGAGCTGCTTATGTTTATGTTTATTTGACAAAAAAGTAGTGAACACACTATTCGTCAAGGATAACACAATAAAGTTTAAAACAAAACTTATTTACATTGTGGTCCTTGATGTAAAGCACAAACTTCACTCCCGGTAACAGGAACACTGGCATTGAATTATAAATACAAAAATTACAATAAAATTCCACATTTACAAAAATTTACAGTCACAAATAACCACATACGTAATACAAATTCATCAACAAAAACAACCTACTTAAGAACCAACTTTTAGCTTTTAAACTAAAACTAGCCATATTCGAGATACTTTTAATGTCCAGAGGTAACTTATTCCACAGAAGTGCCCCAGAATATCTAAAAGACCTACGACCATACATAGTTTTGACATAATGACATAATGTAATATCCATAAGACTTTGCCTAGTTTTATAACAATGTTGCTCATTTACCCTAGAAAAAAAATACATTAAAATATGAAGGAGCTCTATTATTGATAATCGTATGTACCATTTTTAATTTAATATGTTCTAGTCTGCTTTCCATAGGTAACCAATCAAGACACTTAAAATGGGAAACCTCCACATGTGTAAAACGACTAAACCCTGAAACTAACCTTATCAATTTATTCTGAGATTTTTGTAACTTATCCAACCAACCACAAGACAAATCAGACATCCAAGAAATACATGCATATTCGAAATGACATGACACTAAACATGATGCAAGTAATTTTATACTCTGTTTATCAAGAAAAGTAACATGTCTGGCAAGAAATTTAGTCCTAGCATTAACCTTACCCAGAACTTTCATAGCCATACTTACACCACTTAAATAATTGTCAAGGACACATGCAAGATAATTAACAGAAGTTCTATTTGATATTAAACAATCCACCACCTTAACAGACATCTTAGAAACCTTATTCAGATTCTTTTTAGACCCAAATAATATGGATTCCGTTTTACCTAAATGCAACATCAGTTTGTTTTCAGAGAGCCAGTCTCTTACCTTACAATGCTCCTTACCTAAATGCACTTGTATCCTACCAACATCCTTATCTAAAATTAACAAAGCAGAATCATCAGCATATAAAAACAAATTAAAATCACAAACTGCTTGCATGTTATAATATATAAAATATATAATAATATATCATATATAAAAGAATAATATATAAAAGAAACAAAAGAGGGCCTAAAACACTTCCCTGAGGGACTCCATTTTTAACAAAAGTTTCCTCAGAAAGAACCCCGTCAATTTCTACTCTCTGAACTTAATATTAAGCTTAATATTTTTGTGAAAACCTTGATACATTTTTTCGGATTCTTGTCAAATTCTTGTTAAATGTTAAATAAAAAGTTCTAATAAACAGCATTTTTATCATTATAAATGCCTTTACTGTTACTTTTTATGCAAGTATTCACTTACTGACCCCAAACTTTTGAACGCAGATATATATTTAAAATGTTAAGTAATGCAAGAAAAAAACCCTTCATATTACTTGTGTTTTCAGTGTATATGAACACTAGGGGGTGCCACACTCTAATCAATGGAAGATTAGAGCTACGGCTCATCTGCATGTTCCCTTGTTCTTAAATATGTCCACAAGATATTTTGATGAATTTGAATTCTCTCGCATTTGATGAAATTATTTTCTTAAAACACTAATTATTACAGTTATTATTCTGTCCAGTTTTAGTTTCAAATTTCTTTGTCTCGTCTTGACAATTCACAGATGCTATCAGTGCAGCTAACCCTCGTGTCATCGATGACACCCGCGCTCGCAAACTGTCCAACGATCTGAAGAGGTGCACATATTATGAGACCTGCGCTACCTACGGCCTCAACGTGGAGCGCGTCTTTCAAGATGGTGAGTATCTTCATACTGTCCTAAATAGTGCAAAGTGTAAGCTTTATATTTGTGCTGTGAAAAAGAATTTACTGGCAAAGTTGTGTTAAACAAACACAAGGTCATCAGTGGTGGTTTAAATCCATCATTCTGCCCGGATGTGTTAATTGTATGTCACCTCTGTTAGATGAGATTCATCGCAGCACCGGTCATAACAGTTCATGCTTGCGTAACCGTTACTTTCAAATTATGTAGGTTACAGCATAAGGAACAGGAGGCAGAAAGTGCAAGGTGACTTTGCTGTTGAATAGCCAGCCCAATCTGGCTTAATCAGCTCTTAATTACAGGCTAAATGGCCCATCTCGCCTTGCATTGCTCTGTGGTATAGAGATAGCCGTGTTGTTCTGTGTGCTGGATTTTGCTAGGACAGCTTCATTAACCGTTGCAGGTGTAGTGTTGTGTACTTGCAGTTAAAAACACTATAATCTTAGAGAGATAAATTGAGGATGAAAATGTAAGCAGCCTTTGAGACCTGTGCTCCACTAGGGGGCACAAGACAGTAAGAAATGGGGCTCATTTCACAAGAATTTATTATTTGAAAAAGCATCAGAGGTCTTATGGACATTTTTTCTTGTTGGAAAATTGGAATTGTGTTTATAGTACGTTTTGACAGACTTGATGTGCCATTTGAGCTATGTTTATTATCATACTGGGAGGCTTAACAAGACATTTATATTTATGTTCCTGGCAAGTGCATTGTGGATGCATATCTTTCAAGTGTTTTCGAGTGCATATTGTGTAAACTGCTAGTACCACAAAGTTATAATACACATGTGCAGTTGGAAAAGGAAAACGGTAAAGTATGTTGGAATCCCACTAAAAGTCCAAGAAATCCCCAAGAAATGAATTCCCTTTTGAAGTACCATCACTACAGCCAGCAAAGTGTTAGTTTTATAACTAATTCACCACATTAAACAGTAAACTTCAGGAAAAGTCACTGTTCCGCATGTTATGAATGAACAATGAATGTCATTTTTTTTTGGAAAGTGACAATATAGAATTTTACATTTTTACATAAAAATGCTGTTTTTTTAAAGCTGCAGTCCGTAACTTTTGGCGCTCTAGCGGTTAATAAACAGAACTGCGTGCCTTTCCATTCATCAAATAATTCTGAAAAAAAATGTATCATCATTTTCACAAAAATATTAAGCACAACAACTGTTTTCAACATTGATAATAGATAGAGATAAGGGTAAAAAAAAAAATCTTGAGCACCAAATTAACATATTAGAATGATTTCTGAATGATCATGTGACACTGAAGACTAGAGTAATGGCTGCTGAAAATTCAGCTTTTCATCACATGGACAAATAACATTTAAAAATATATTAAAATATAAACCAGTTATTTTGAATTGTAAATCTTTCACAATTGTATTTGACTGTTTTTACTTTTTGATCAAATAAATGCTATCTCGATGAACACAAGACACTTGCAAACACACTAAACAAGCATATCTCTAATAACAGATGAAGTATATATGGTACAGAATGTAATAATACTTTGATGAACACTGTCAACTACACACAGCAGCAGTAAATACAAATGCTTTAAGGGTACAGTAAATACAAGCAGCAGACATGCATTTATGAACACTCCATTGTGAGTGTCAGCCCTCATAAATGAACCTTTAGGTTATTTCTTAAAGATCTGTTTGAATGTAACTGCTTCTTCTATCCCCACTGAGGAACAAAAAAAGAATACAAGTGCAAGTATGATCTATAATGTAGAGAGCTGGGAGAGTTGATAGCGAGTCTTGGTCTGAGCTTGATGATGGGTTGGAGATGGTGGCCCCTGGAAACAATGCTAACAAATTTGATTTTGACAGCAACAAGCATCCATTATATAGACATGAATAAACATGAGAGAACATTGTGAAAAGAAATGGAAATCCAGTACAACCATTTAATTCAAACTGATACTTTTCTAACCTTTCCCTGGGCCCATATGATTTTTCATATTGATATTTAGTGAACGTTTGTTGTTGTGATGTTTGTGTGTTTTTCTTAGTAACTCTATCATGATTGTGTATATATATCTGAACCACACTGGTGTAGTTTGCATGTGGTATTATGTGTGTTTGGTGTATTTGCACACACGTGTGTCTGTGTGTGGCAGATGTACGCAGCTCTTCGGAGGGGTTGGGCAGGCTGAAGCGTTCAGAGCTCCATCCAGGAGGAAGATTTACACTCGAAACGCTCAGCTATTATCTTCTTAATTATTACACTGTTGGCTGCAGCCAAGACTGCTGTAATTTAACTGTGTGTGTGTGTGTAAAAAGAGTGGGTGCATGTCTGTATGAGGGCCAAGCTCATCAGTAGCACTAAATGAGAGCAAGAAAAGGCTAAATTCCTGATCATTACTGACGCTGTCTCCTTGCATCTCTCATTTCATTATCCTCAATTAATCATGCATTCTAATTATCCACTGTAGTGGAATTTATTGATGAGTAGCAAAATGATTATTTTAATGTTTTGTGTTGCATTGATAGCATAGCAACTGCCCAGAGGTGTGTTTTTCGTGTGTGTGTGTGTGTGTGTGTGTGTGTGTGTGTGTGTGGATTCATGTCATTTTGTTTGCCTGATTTAGACCTATTTTTGCGTCAGAGCAATGCATGAGCTGTCATTACTACACATGTGACCATAATTAAAGAGTTTTAATCATTGGCTCACTGCAGATTTACAGGCTCTGTATGATTTTGTGAGAGAACTGGACAATAGCAGTTGATATTTAAGTTGATCGTCTCAAAGTAGAAACAGTATGGACTGATTTGAAGTCTGTTTGGCTCCATAATCATATCACACATGAACAATTCCATTTTAGTATTTAAATGAGAGAAAATTTCCAATCTGGCTTTGTAAAAATATATAATAAATACTACATCATGACGTAAAATATAAAAATATAATATAGCTGTTTTACTAAAAAGTATGCATTTTGCAAAATAGCGACATTGCAAAAATATTTATAATTATAATATCTAGTGATGTTCATTTTGGTTATTTCTCCTAACCGACAATCGACACTCCTTAACCGATTATTAAACGTTAACTGACAAGATTATTTTCGAATTAGAATTGAATTAAATTAGAACGGATAAGTGTCTGTGACCCGTTAAAAATACCAAAATTAGTTTTCCAGGGATTCATTTTACATGCGCAAAAAGCAGCAAACAACAGAAAATGAAGATTCACATGGTCACATCACACAACTGCAGCGCTTCTGTGAGCGGAGAAAAACATAATAAAGCTAGGCTATATATATATATATATATATAATGAATAAATAGGCCTATATGAGAAATATCTTTTTACTTAAATAATAAATTAACAAAAAGAAAGAAAAAAAACTGTGCAACAAGTAGTATGCAGAGTTTCGGTTCATTTTTTGTGCTGCTCGAAAGGAAAACAAGACGGCAAAATGCGGTGTCCTATTTATCTTTATTTTACAAAAGCACAAAGATTTGCTTTTATTGTGAAAGTACACAAATGAAAGCAAACCTTTTACAGTTTCGATTATCTGTATTGACTAGAAGGAGTAGTTGTTTCCACTGTTAGAAGGAAAAAATTCAAGTGATTGCGCCGGTGCCGCACACAGTTAAGCATTGCTAACTTGACAATGCAGCCTGTTCATTATCATAAAAAAATGCAGTCAGCCAAACATATGGAAAAAACACACTGCTCAGTTTAAATAATGTGTGCCGTTAAGCGTTATCACAATACCGCCATAATGTTATGCCAAACACATTTTGTTTTACATCGATGTTGGAACGTGAGTGAAGAACAAAACCAGGTTTACGTAATTAATAATATTTTGGCATTCAAAAACATCGCAAATACAGAAACATTTGGATTTGTGTCGAATGAGAGACCCAACGTTGGTTTCAATTTCGTTTATAGCCTAGCAGCTTATATTTTTCATTCTTGTTCTTTTCTGAATACTGTTAAACTGAAAGGATTTGTTGTGAAGTGAGGGGAACTAGGGATGCACCGATCAAATACTGGCATTTTCTGCCGGATCGGGTATCGGTCAGACGAGACCGATCCAAATCCGATATTGTGCGTATAATATTCTGTTATTGTTAAGCCGCACGAAAGGCACAAAAACATTATAAAGCACCATAAAGTTTTTGTGCACTATATTCCAAGTTTTCTGAAGCCATTCCATAGTTTAATGTGAGGTAGATGAATATTTAAGTCAAGTTCATGTAAACTCTTCTCTCCGCTGTCTGTCATCCTCCATTCAGCATTCAAACTTTGTGTCACGTTCAGTTTCGACAGTCAAGACGATGAAACTCTCTCCAAGAGCGCACAGTAACTGAGATTTAAAACTGTTAAAAGAAAAGGCTCAAACTATTGCACAGATTTAATACACTACGCATTAATATCTCTTCACTTTTTGCTTTGAAAATTTCTATGCTTACTGTGTAATTACTGTGACTCCTTGTTGCTTCAAGCGCATCATTCTGTGCACGGGATGCGCATAAGCGCTTCGCCCTGTATTGAGACTTTCGTATTATAATACTTTTGCGCAATGATTGTTAATGATTATTAATAGCCTTTCTTGTTCTGTCCTATCTATCATATGTTGCTGCCTCCATTCCTGTGCTATACATTTAAAAGAAATGTATTTTAATTTATAGTATATATATATATATATATATATATATATATAGTTTTTCATGAATGTATTTTACAACAATACAAAGAGCAATTTAACATTTGACCAGATTTAGTCCTACACTTAATTGTGACAATAATGAGTTGTAAATAAATAAATAAAACAAATAAAAATCATAATATTATTATTATTATTATTATTATTATTACTACTACTACTACTACTAACGCTCACAATATTTTGGGTGGGCTTTTTTCAGCAATTTTAATTAACTGCTTTGTAAATAAATTTAGAGCTTCAAATTTTGTTGTTCTTTAAATATTCCTCAAATAAATGCTAGC